ATAAGAGGTCCACAGCGCCTATCCTATCAAGGGGCTATTAAACTTTCAGTTGATTGACGTGATTCCATCTCCAACCTCTCATAAGTGGTCCACACCGCCTCTCGAGGGGCCATTGAACCTCTGTTGCGTGACGCGTATGGTGTGTGTTAGTTTTATTTTTATTTATTTTTTAATTTCTTGAACTTGAGCAATGCGAATTTATCTCGGCCAAGAGATGAGTATCTTGGCTCAGTCATATCCGAGTTCTTTGAGATCGCATGACAAGTCCTCTAAGATTGAACCATAAATTTAAATGGATTTGTAAATCAACAACATAATGGGATTTACTATAATAAATCAAAATTTTAAACCCTAGACCACAAAGTCTGTCATTAAATATATATATATATATATATATAAAAAAAAAAAAAGGGAAAAAAGAAAAAGATGGTTAACTTTTTCAAGGTCATGGAAAGAGACATTTGTGGGAGAGTTGAGGGAGAGAAATATCCTTTTATTTTTTTGGTAGCGGGCAGCTGTCAATGCTGTCCTCGCTGATGGAAAAGCGAGGTAAATGTCGCAGTCTTTTCTTAGTTCAACAAAACATTGAAAAGCTTTAGCGACTTGAACCTAGGCCCTTTTGAGTTGAGTTGAGTTGTGCCCTTGTCCACAATGTAGACTCTAGTAGCCCTAAAAAAAAATCACAAAAAACAAGAAACATGGAGAAGAAGAATTTTTTTGTTGGGATTCTTATCATATCACATAACTATCACCTTGTGTTCTACTTGAGAAAAATTGATTTGAAGCTTCTAAAATCCTAAATTCAATCGATTGTCTTTCAAAATTATTATCATCATCTACGACTTATTGATAGTCCTACTTAATTTTTGACCAGGAATTGTTCTGGAGCATTTTCTCAGTCCAGAATTATCATTTTTACTGACTTTGGAGATCAATGAAGATGATTTGATATTTGATATTATTGGGGCCAGATAAATCCTTGTCAACACGGCGCTTCGACCCCCAACAAAATGCACAATTAGAAGTTTCATGTTATCCGAACGAAGTGGCCCTTGAACCAGTGAGTAGACCATTTCCATTAAATTTGAGCCTATCTAAAAAATTTCACTAGAAAGGGCTGTTTTGATGCCAAATATATTCAAATCAATTATCTTGACATCAAGATGCATGGACATGGGAAAAAAATGAATTTCAAGTTTTGAAAATAGTGCATTTTGTAACACGTTTGTGAAGTTTTAAACTTTATAATTGACTATGAAAATATATTTTTAGGCTATTACAAAGATTTTCAATATTAAAACTACATTTCTCTATACTATTTGAAGGTATGCTCTAATTTGATTGTTTAGAGCCTAGGCTCTATACAAACCACACCCTTATTAAAAAAAAAAAAGCATATAATAAGACTATTTATCTTTGGTATAAGGTGATCTCAATTAATCTTAACCATTGGATGTAAAATTGCAAGGTTACATTTATTCTGTTGACCAAACTCAAAGTTTTAAATTTTTTTTTTTGAAATTTATAACACTTTCAAACTATTAGATTTCACATCGGATGGTTATAAAACCCTCCTGGTACTAAAGGTACATAGGATCATCGTATACGAACCCCTAGTAAAAATTGGTCCCTTGGGACCACCGACACACACTAATGTTTAGCATGTCTGCTGAGATCCAATTCGTCATGTCTATTTGTCGCCAGTTTTGACGGGTTATAAGTATAAGTGCAGTTGACGTGTCCTCCCCTCATTTCCCGTGCTTCCCACGACACTTCCAATTTAGTGAGCCTAGAATGCTCCTGCGGGAGCATTTTGTTTATTTACTCCACCACATGACAATGCGACTTGAAAAGAGATTTGTGGATATGAAACTTCCGATCAGTTTAAGAATCACCACATGATTATTTTTAGGGAAAAAATAAATTTGTGGATTGTCTTGCACATAGATCTTGCTGACAGCACACATTGAATTTTATAACACTATTATTTTTAGGTTCCCAGCGTTTTTTCCCCTGAAGTTGATCACTGAGGTGAAGAGAGTACATACCCAAAATTTGGGTTCTAAAAATACTCCTACACAGGGATTCGCCCAAGGGAGTACTTGGATTGTATGCACCTGTGGGAGCATGAAAATCTTTTGGCATAATGAGATTTGTGTGGTCTCCGAGATATTTAATGGGCTGGTAATATGATACGTTTCTGTACGGAATATTAGCATTCCTACATTTTACTTGCACCACCCCAACTTTCTGATATCAACGTGGGCTGTATAAAAAGAGAAGCAGAACATCCTAGCCATCCATTATTGATATCTAACGGTTGGTAATAGTGCTATCAAAATGTAGGACACCTAGATGCTTGTAATGGTTTACCTGTTTACAAGAACATCAATAACAAGGGACAAGGCACTAGAGCGAGGTAAATTTGGATAAGGCAAAGGCAAAGGATTGGAGCGGAGAGATGGTGGTTCTTTGGAGTGGAGAGATGGTGGTTCTCTGGGCGGCGCTTGCAGTGGGATTCGCCACTTTGATGGTGGCACGGAGGTGGTGGCGCACAAAACACCCCGGAGAGGGCCCGAAGCTCCCTCCGGGGACCGGGGGATGGCCCCTCATAGGAGAGACCCTCCCATATTTGGCCTTAACTGGCTCAGGCGAGAACTTCATCGTAAAAAGGATGCGTAAATACAGGACTCAGGTCTTCAGGACCCATATCCTGGGCAGTCCAATGGCGGTATTCTGTGGAGCTGCCGGCAACAAATTCATCTTCTCAAACGAGAACAGGGTGCTCGTCAACGCATGGCCAGCCTCCGTAGCAAAGCTCTTCGGGAGATCCGTAATCACCACTACTGGAGACGAGGCTAAGAGGGTTCGAAAGGTCCTCATGGCGTTCTTGAGTCCAGAAGCACTCCACGAGTTTGTCGGTCAAATGGACTCTGCGGCTCGATTGCACCTTAAAAGATACTGGGATGGGAAAGCTGAGGTAAAGGTCTACAGTATGTTGAAGGTCTATACCTTCTCCTTGGCCTGCAGCCTTTTTGCCAGTATAGAGAGCGAAGAACGAAAGGCGCAGCTCTCAGCCTTCTTCAATGTCTTCCTCAAGGGGATGATGCAGATGGATCTGAAAATCCCGGGAACAAGATATTACAAGGCTAAAAAAGCAGTTGATGCCCTTCGAAGAGAGCTGAGGAAGGAGGTGGATGACAGGAAGGAGGCTCTACGGGCCGGAACAGCGAACCCGAAGCAGGACTTGATGTCGTATTTGCTCACCACCGCCGATGACAGCGGCAAGCACATGAGTGATGAGGAGGTGGTGGACAATATCATCAACCTGCTCTTCGCCGGACACGACACCAGCAGCTCCACCCTGTTGATGGTGCTCAAGCATCTAGCTGAGAAGCCTTACTACTACAATGAAATCCTCAACGGTACTGTCTCTTGCCATATATTCTTTCCTTTCTTTTTATAACAATTGGATTATTATGCTTCTTTTTCTGTGACTTTAGAACAAAGGGAAATTGAGAAGTCGAAGGGCAAAGAAGAAGTACTGAATTGGGAAGACCTCAAAAAGATGAAATACACATGGAATGTGGTGTGTGAGGTAATGAGAGTTTCACCGGCGGTAGCTGGAGCTTTCAGACTCGCCATAACCGATTTCGACTACGCCGGCTTCCGCATACCGAAGGGCTGGAGGGTAAATCACCCAAGCCCCTTTCTTCCTTTCTTTATGTTGCCATGATTTATGACAGGAAAATGCTTCGATAGGGCTGCAGTCCTACTAAAATAAGTAAAGCCTCACCTCAAAATTCACCAAAAATTATAGTTTTGTTGGTCGAAAAACTTTCAAATCAATCATCTTGGCCTTGACCATCATTGTTCTGAAAAAATTTTAGATTTTAAGCACGAAAAAATAATGTATATTGTACTGCATTATTAAACCCTTCTATTTCACCCAAAAAATAAGAGTTCACAAATCTGCAAGGTACCATTTTATTGAGCTTCAAATTTCATTGTCAGCATAGAAAGATTTTAAAGATATCGAATGGCCAAAGTGCTTTCTGTACAAGGATTTTGAAAGAAAGACTAATTTGTTCTTGTAGGGGGATATATTTTGTTATTTTTCTTCTTTTCACCCCTTTTAATTTTTTTTTTTTTTCTTTTAGAAAAAATCAATTACAAGTAGTTTTATTATAATAATTCTTGCTTCAAAGAAAATAAAACTAATAAATTCAAGATCTTAAAACATTCATGCCATAAAAATAATTTTCTTTAAACAAAGAAAAAACCAATTCTTTTTTAAAAAGGAAAATATTCACAATTCTTATGATTGGGAATATAAAAATAATATAATTAAATATGGCAAGAAACAAAAACAGAGTGTCAAATATTACGTCAATCGGGCTTAGTACACCCTACACCGACTCTCCTCTTTTGGATGGTGCTCGGGATCTATAATCGGTCTATTGATTCTCTTATATATGGCAAAACCCTTCTCAATGATATAAGATATGTTGAGCCAGAGCCTTATCCTCCCTTTTCTATTCCCATCAAATCTTTATATATATATATATATATATATACATATATTATTTTTTATTTTAGTATATCCGATTTTTATTTTTTTGGTTCAATCAATCTTGATTCAAAGCTTTACTAAATATTTCAAATATTCAACATTATCATGTAAGTTGGCTATACTTAAAAATTAGTAAACAAACAACGGATCAACTATGACTTAATCTTGGAGAACAAGTTAATCTCTATGGGTGGGGTGTACCACCCTTTGATGGCCATGCCCTAAAATTTATGGAAGATTCTATATAATTGTAGAAAATATTTTATTTTGTATTTATAAGTTTTAAATCTTATATTTTATTCAAAACATTGAAAAATTAATTTCTCTTAATTTATAAATCCAAATGAAAAAAATAAAATATCAGAAGATTCATAAAAATTCAAATAAATATTCTAAAAAATAATATATCATAAACTTAAATAAAACAAATTAATTTTGATGGGAATCGGATTCATTAGATTTAGGAATTTATCTCCACCTTCAACTGCAGACCACGATCTATCTAGCTTTCTCAAACTGACTCAACAGTTCCCATGATCCACAGTCCGCTGCATGGGTTCATGATTGGACCACCAAAGTCCGTCAATAGACTAAAAGACGCAATCCCAGTTTATAGATTTCAGGTTCTGCCCTTGAAACAAAAAAATCATAATCGTCCATACCATGATGCAAGCATGACGTTATGGTATATAGGGGTAATATCTCGTACATGTACTATTGACGAATCTCAAAACGGCTATCTATGTACATGCCGTGTGATGATATATCGATGAGGTTTAGCCCTGTCTCTAAAGGCTATTCATCACACGTAAGGCCCACACAGTCCCTGGGCTCTCATTTGAGCATAGTCTAACCTCATCAAGGGCTAACCCACTAAACCTTTTTCGGTTGATCCCTATGCTTAGATATCTTGGGTTTGTTCAAACTCAATTAGCCTAACATGTCGAGCCTAGTCCGAGTATCGACAAATCGTATTTACCAAGTATGGTTCATAAGAGGACCACACTCCCACTGAGTTCATGTTTCACTATATAAAATGCTCGTACAAGCTTTCATGAGGCCTTTAAAGGCCACATAAACCCAACAAATTTGAGGTGTATTAAAGGTTAGACTTTACTTTGGTCGAGGATTCAATGCAAGGGTTTCACCTATCCCGTTGGAGCACATTATCTTTTGCCAATTGTAGATTAATTTTTGTACGTATGGAATTGTGGATGCAGCTCCATTGGAATGTGCATACTACACACATGATGGAAGAGTATTTTCCAGAACCTGAAAAATTTGACCCCTCTCGCTTCGAGGGAGAGGGTCCACCGCCATACACGTTCGTGCCTTTCGGTGGGGGACCGCGCATGTGCCCTGGGCTTGAGTTTGCAAGAGTGGAGATGCTAGTGTTCTTACACAATTTGGTGAAGAATTATAAGTGGGAATTGGTTTTCCCAAATGAGAAGATACACATGGATCCTATGCCTGTTGCTGAAAATGGACTCCCAGTTCACCTCCACCCACATCAGAAACATTCGTGATCTCTCTTTCTCACTCTCTAAGTCATGGTTGCGAAGTAACTTTAATGAGTTCATTCCCTCGGGTCATTAGCTATATAATTGAAGTGTTTAGTGTTTTCTTTTCTATGAAATGAATGGTCCCAATATGTTTACCATGATTTGTGTACTTGTACATCAATAAAACCTATCTGTTGCTGCAAAGGGTCTCCCAATTCACCTCAACTCTCATCAGCAACATTCATATGATCTCTCTCTGTGGTGGCTTTTTCTTGATGAGCATTTTCTTTACAAATCATACTGTAAAAGTTTCTTTATGATATATCATCTCAAATATTGTCATCACATACTTACATTTGTGCCGAATAGGAATAGGGTTGGGACTTTTTGATCAAATTTCTACGTACTTATCTATTCATCATGATAATCGAAGTGGGTGCTAGAAAAATAAATTAGTTGGAGATTTGGAACAAGAGGAGGAAGAAGATGAGGAAGAATCTGTAGAGGATCCTGGAATTCGTTTAAGAAAAGCCAAACATGTGGTAATCTCCCTAAGGTGTCATGATGGCTTTCTACTCTGCTTTGAGAATTGACCTCACTTTCAATTTCATCAGTATCGTCATCTCATGTATCTTCATCGGGTCCTGCATTTCTTGGTGCTATCATAACAATCTTATCATCTTGTCTGAGAAACCCAGCTCCTCTCAAGAACTTTGCGCTCTCCGCCTCTAAATATAGTTATAGCATAACTGCTCTTATCCTCTCTTCAGAGCTTTGCTCTATCCTCCAAATTGAGTTATGTTCGAACTTAGCTTCTCATCAATGAAGCCTAGCTGAACTTATAGATATTATACTGTGATCAAACTCGCAGAGTGTTTCTTAAAACTTGAATCATCAACGCTTATTTTAGCACAGCCACGAGGACCATGCGTTGATTTTATTTTACTTTAGTTTCTGTAGAGTAACTTCATTCAGTTGCAATAAGATACATGCATAACAAAATACGAGGTATATGTGTAGCACAAACAAGAGAAGAATGAAATTTCTGATTTAATACATGACTGCATAATCTATCATCATCGTCTTCAAAGTTTTTTCCGGATTAATTAGGGTCAGCTATATAAATACCGAGTATATACTAATCCACTATTCATATGGCTCTGTAATCCATTAGATGCAACATATATGTGTAGCACAACCAATGGATTTGTAAATCAATAGTATAATTTAATTTATTGAAATAAATTGATTTTTCAAACCCTGAACCATATAATCTGTCAGTCTAAAAAAAGTGGGAGAGAAAGATAGGGTTCACAAACCTTTTTTCTAAACCGGATCGTTCATCCCAAAAAAGGATCGGATAGGTGGATTAGCGATCCGGTTCGGAGAATCGGCATAAAAAAATTATTAAAGTTTCTTTAAAATAATCTATTTTTTTAGGTTTTCAAAAAAATAGTGGTATTGCATTATAGTTTTTTATTATTTTGTTGAAAATACATAAGTTTGAGAACCTATCTCATATCTGAGTGTTATCCATTGTATCATTTTGCAGTTAAATGAAATTTAAAATGCAACCCATTACAATAGAATGGATCTCTCTTACTCAAATTTATAGTGATAAAAAAGAAGTGTACAATAATTTTGGACATTTGGTTTTAAATTAGATAAAAACAAGGGTAAAACCCTCACAAATAAATAAATCTAATGTGTAATAATTAGTATGGACAAAAATATAAAATTTAAAAACATAAATTTGTAATCATGTTTTAATAAAATTAGAAAAATAAATAAATAAATTCATGCTTGCAACGTAGAATAACTAATAAATCAACTTGAAAATAGATTATAAAGTGGTATGAGTTAGTGTTATTTTCTACATTTAAAATATTCTATAAATTAATATTTTTTAATATTTAATAAATTATAATTAATTTTTATTTTTATATTTTTAATATCCTACAAGCTAATACTATTTTTTTCTCTTTTTAATCTCAATGAACTAATAGCCTAATATTAATCACATGCGATAATACTATTGGTTGGAGTTTATTGACCACAATGCCATCACATTTTGACTTGAGAGAAGTCTTGATTGGAGTTTATTGACCACAACGCCATGACCTTTTGACTTGAGAGAAATATTGGTTGGAGTTTATTGATCACGACGCCATCACATTTTGACTTGAGAGAAGGACCAAAGAAGTATTATCCGACGTCGATGAAAATTGGGAGCAAAACGCCATATAAAATGAGTTAACCCAACTCTTAAATAGCTACACATGATGGGGATCCCAACGGCCAAGTCAATAAATGGGGGAAGATGTCAAGGGCCACGATGTGAGGTTTAACGAGACCTATATTACCAGTGTGCTATCACTCGACTTTTTTAATTAACAAAAATTAGTGAAAATGTAGGAACCGGTTGGAGCTTTCGGTCCCCAGTACGGACCGCTCAAACTGCACGATTCAAGATGGCATTCGATCGGATCTTGATATATTACAGGATCCGAACGGGCAATGCGAAATTCAATCTAGATCAGGTGATTCAATCTGAATCGTCAATTTTAGCCGATCCCCAATAGTTGGGAAAATGTTGTGATGATGATAGATATATATATATATTTTTAGGTAATTCAGTGGGGATAACGAGCCCTTACTCGTTTTTGAAATCGTTAGTGGTTTTTTACTACGTTAGATGAGAATGAAAGCCTAGACCTTAACTGAAGCACAAGTGGTGGTACTTCCACGACCCTAAACCTATTCTCCTGATGAAGATAAATTTGATTTCAAGATTATGCAAATAGGAAGTCTTGAAAACAATCTTATGTGATGTGTATCCCACAGTTGGGACTTTTCGCCTCTCGTAAAGTTGTCCCATGGGGACACTGCATCACACTCCATATATCATCTCTAAGGGCACATTTGTTTTTCTAAAAGAATTCTTTCAAAAAGAAATCTTTTTAATTTTTTAAAAGTTCTACATTGTCACGTGGTTTCATCTAAAAGTTCAGAAAGATTATTGTTAAAACATGAAAAATTAAGTTCCTCGGGCGGCGGGGGGGGGGGGGGGGGTAGGGGGGGGAGGGTAACTAGGTTAACTTTTAAGTTTTAGAACTTTGTTTTCGTACTAGTTCGT